TCGGCAGCAGGAGAAGCGCTACCTCCACCTTACTCTCCCTTTTGAGAAGATAAGTTCACCAAGCAGCTGGACTCAAAGCTCTTTTCCAGGACGGCTGCTCAGACCGGACGGCACACTCCTCCCGATGCTGGCAATGACTCAGAGATGCTGGTTGAGCCCGCTGCCTGAAATAGCCTGTGCTTTGGGCTTGGTTCCCATCCTCGGTTTGCCTTTGCCCTTCTGCTACTTATTACGGTTGGGGAGAAACGAAATAACTTGTGCGGTGCTGCTTTGGACCTGGCTTCCCGGTCCTGGCTTTGCCTGGCTGCTGGGGCTCCTGGGAAAGCACCCGTCCTGACAGATACCGGGGATGCCATGATGGCATCTACAGGCAGGACCTCGGTCACCAGGCGAGGTGAGTAGACGAGGTGGAAAAAGCGATGGTTCAAGTCCCCTCTTCAAGAGCAGCCTCCTGCTCAGCTGCTCTTGCTCCATACACCACGTGCTGCGGGAGCTGATTTATTTGCAGAGCAACCGCCAGCTCCTGTGGCACGTGCGTGCGACGGTTACCCCGCAAAGAGAAAAATCTGCTGCCGCTTCCCAAGGGTCGCTAGAAACGCCACATCGTGACCGCGAGCCTGCGCAATGTCCCCAAAGGCAACGCAACGCAGGCTCTCCTGCGGGCAGAGATGAGGCCCAGCTTTGCAGCAGAGCTTACGGCATTCTTGAGGGAAGCAGCACCCCAAACCGTCCGAGCACCAGCGACGGCGATGACCCTTTACGTGGAGGCTGCCCTGAGCAGAGGCTCAGCACGGTCCTGGAGTGGCTGGGACGAGCCCTTCCTATCTCGGATCAATTACAACTATGCAAAGTTATTTTTAATTGGACCGGAGATACCAGAAAATAAACACTCGCAGCCACTGTGAGAGCGTGGTCATGGCCTCTTGTTCAACGAGGCTTTTCTCATTTTCTCCTTCGCACTGGTAACTGTCGGCAAATACTGAATTTGGACCTAGTGGAGCAAACTCCGGCCTTTCCTTGGTGCGTGAGTGCCTGGTAGAGCTAACACCCTCTTTCCCCGGGCTGGCCCTTTCCTTATCCTCCAGCATCCATGGCAGGAGCTGAGCCGTCCGCCCGGGCTTGCGAACTGCCGGAGGTTCTGCAAAGAGCTTTCAGTCCACCTGCCGTGGCGCGCAACGGATGGGATGACACCATGCAAGTCAGAAGGCAAGAAACCTGAGTGCACTAACGGGCAGCGGCTGGTGCTGCAGTAAAAGGCTGAGGTTGGCAGTGGAGGCTGCAAGCGGGTCGGCTCTTACCTGACCACCTGCAAAAATGACAGGGGTGGAGGCGGGCTTTGGGCGGTAGGGAATGGTGGCACCTTTTGGTGGGGACTAGGAAAAGGGACAAGGAGAGGGAGAGAGAACATTAGAACAGCTTTCCTGAAACGGCGGCAAAAAGAGTGTTAGAAAGCACCCGACGGAGCACGGCCCCCGGGGCCGCCGCCAGCAACACCCGCACCGGGCAAACCGCGTTTCTGGACAGGAGGACACGGGGGAAATCAGCGTTTAACGGATGAATGAGGACAACCTGGGGTACAGGAGATCCCCTGCCAAGGTGTGGGCCACTAAATCACTTCCCAGACCTCCGCTGCCTTCCTTGCCTTCGCTCTGCTCTCTGCAGACTGTGTCTCCTGGTCTAGACTCGAGCCTGACACTGGCATGCAGTGCCCTCCTCAAAACACTCCAAGGAGACCCTCAAGGTGCAGCGAGATGGGGAGGTACACGCACGGACCAGGCTTTTCATCCCCGGATGCCATGAGCCTCCTCGTGCAGTGGATTTCTTTGCAGCCTGAGAGCTCTTGCACACCCGCAGCCCGCCCTGGAGTTGCACCAGCCCGGCCAAGCACCAGGAGCTGTGGCACGGCGTTGTGAGCGTGAGCATCGGAGGGCGCGAGCAGCCTGTCTGAGTGACCCAGCATGATGCTTAAGCTCTTTGACCCCTCTCATCTTCCCCACTGCCGGAACAGGGTCGCCTTCAAGTCTTGGCTTGGTCTATCGCCATCCAAGCTGGGACGTGGATGGCCGCACAGGGGATGCTGCAAGGCACTGCCGTTGTGGTCAAGACCTCCCATGCCCTGGTGGGACAAGTGGCAGCGATCGCTTTGGCCAGGTTGCTGAACTCTGAAGGCGCCAGGGGCTGGAAACCCCTCTCCGATGGCAACACCAACATTTCCAGAGATCTTATCCTGGAGCTGCAAGGTGGTGGCAGTCTGCACGAGCAGCCAGCCAGACGCCAGCAGCAGAAGACCGACCAGCCCTCCTCCTGCGGCAGCGTGCCCCGGGGCACCCCTGCTGCGGCTGGACAGGACGTCTTGCTCCTTGCTGCTGTGCGTCGGTCCGAGCAGAAGCTGTAGTGACACACATCAAGCTGTAGCGATGCGTCCCTCTGCGCGAGGCACGGGATCATCTCACCCAATTTATCTCTCCGTCGGTTTTCTCTTGAACGTAACAAACAGGCCATAGAAGAGATTTTGAGGTTTCTAGGGATCAGGAGAGATTTCAGATAAAAGCCTCCTGGTTCTACGCAAAGTGAAACGACCCAGTTACTGCTATGTAAGGATAGGCAATATAAATTACGCTATCTCATGGAAAATTCTTCATTTTTTCTGTACATTCTTCTAGACGTCTACTTGTAGCCAAGTGACATATCCAAATCTTCCTGCTAAGCACAGGCCTGCAGGAAGGTTGTACGATCAAAGCACAGCCTCTATAATCACAAACCTGCTTTTTCTTTTATTGCATTGCAAATCTTAGAGGGGACGAGCGAGGATTTCTGTGGTAGGATAATTTAAGACAGAAGGGTTATAAGGAGCATCTCTGTGAACTGTTAAAGTCAGGGGACTTCCCAGATTTCAGACTGCAAGAAAATTCATGGGTTTTTTCTCTTTCCCATTGCTGAGCCATAGAGAGGAGCAGCAACCCTTGGTTTGGTCGGTGAGAACAGCAGCCACCGAAGACTTTGTAACACGCCTGTAAGCATCACCTCAGGCCCACACTTCTGCCGCAGTCCAGAGCATAACCTGGGGTCACCGTGCGGCTAAAATCGCACTCCTCTGGCAGCAGAGCGTACCCGCCTGAGCATCACTACCAGCAGTAACGTGGCTCGTGGCAACTCCTCCTTAGCTGCTGCCAAACTGAAGTTGCTTACATTTGGTTTTGCTTCACCTCCACCAAGCCTTGGCATCCTCATCTGAAGCTCTTGCAGTGGCAAACATGCTCTTCCCTGCCGTTAATAAAGGGCTGTGCAGCAAGGCAGAGGGGCCTGACACCGGTCCGTGCTTGTCTACCTCTGGGAGGCCCCAGGAGCGGAGGGTGTCACCGTCCTGTGTCCCGAGGGGTTTCCTCCTGGAGCTTCTCCCATCTTAGATGGCAGGTTTGGATGTTGGGCATGCAGCTGTGGTCACCCCTAGCAATAAGCCATTGGTACAGCAGCATCTCTCCATGGCAGAGACACTCAAGCTCTGCTCATCAGCATTTCTCCCAGACAACGGCACCCTGGACACACGTCGATGTGCCCTACAGGTCCTGCTCTCCACCAGCCTTCCTCAGCACCTTTCCCACCGTGCCTCACTGGAGTCTGGCTTTGCGCTCCTAGCCCTGGGTCCCCCAGCGCAGGCGATGCACTGGCCTCCTCCTCCCAGCCGTGGTCCTCACGGGGCACCGCAAGCCCCGTGCAGGGGAAGGCAGGCACTGGGTGGAGTGGCTGCAGCCCCCGTCCCCTTCCCACGGCACCCTCGGTGCTGCTGGGACACCACGCTACGGCTGTGCCAGCCCACCCGGCACCCCTCTCTCCTGAAGCCACCCTGTGCTACGACACAAGCCATCTCCTTTGGGGCACCTGACCAGACAGGTTTCCAGTGTGGGACTCTAGAAACAACGTACGAAGATGGCGGGGAGAACACACTGGGTAGGTTTCAAACGGAGGTACCAGGAAATGAGTGGTCCGACAACGCGTGGTGAAGGGTACGAGAGACACGCTCCACAGCTCCCAGCGCTGTTGTGGTGCCAGCTGGGTTTTTTTCCTATGTACTTTACCCCCTTTGTCACAGACTGTACCTCCAGCATCACCACACAGATCTGTTTGACACACTGGATAATTGCGTCGGGTGTCCCCGAGATTGTCACCGCCCGCTCCGTGGAGTTGGGCAGCATGTCCCCCGCCACTTGAACCTGAGCACCTGTTGACTGGAGACAGAAAGAGAGAGGAGGAGAAATCCCACAGCTGAATGCCTTTCCCTGCAGCCAGCTCCAGCTCCTGGAGATGCCACGCGCCTCCCGAGAGCTGTGCCGCCCCGTGCGAGCTCGGATGCGGGCCCTGCCTGCATCCGCACGCCAGCGAGGTCCCACGGGATGCTGCCGCCACGTCAGCAGGACCATCCTGGGAAGCAACCTGGTGCATGATGCTAGCAGCATAAGAGTCCCCCTTTCCAAGGCAGCTCCCCCTTGGTCACAGATCAGCTCCAAGGAGCTACGATTTCATGCAATAACAAAATCACCTCTGCCTTACCTCCCTGATTTCCTTGATCTTGGAGCCTCCTTTGCCGATCAGCGAGCCACACTGACTAGCCGGCACGACCAGTCTCAGCGTCACCGGAGGTTTGCTGGTAGCAGTGCTGTTGCTCATTGAATTGGTTATGTCCTTGGGAAGGAAGAGTGCAATGCATCAGTGCTTGGTACCCGACCAGACACCTGCCATCCAGGCCAACCCAAACGCCCTGGGCCAGAAAAGAGGGGTCATGTCCCCCAGACTGTGGCTGGTCTTTGTCTGCAGCTGCATCACTGCGTGTCCCTGCAGCTGATTAACTGCGAGACCTCTGGGACAGTTCCCTGAAGCTCAGTTCTTGCCTAGTTAGAGATGCCTGGAAGGTTTTGTGCCAAGGTCCTGTACCAGTTCAGCAAGTCCAGGCAGGCACTTATGGGTTCGAGGTACCCAGGCCCATCTGCGCTGCTGGTCCCAGCAGTGGGCATGCCAGAGCTCTGCTTGGCTGAGCTTGGTGCCACCCAAGGGTCTGGATGCAGACCCTTTTACTCTGCCCTCCTGGGGAAAAGGGCTCACGTTGCTCACCTCCTCAAATTTGTAGGCGATCATGGCGAAAGCCTTGAAGATGGCATCGGTGGGGCCGGTGATGGTCACGATTCGCTCGGGGCAGTTTCCCTCTGAGATGTTGATCCTTGCCCCGCTCTGGAAAGAGAAGGGCAGCCCTGGAATAGCCACAGCCAAGCAACCCACGGGCATGTAGCCGGAGGCGCAGCCCTTCCTCTGGGTCAGGTCCCGTCCCAGCCTGGTCCCTCGTCATCCTCTGTGCCAGCGTCTCAATATCCCATCTAACCTTAAAAACTCCTGTCCCTGCACCCCGTGGTGCCTCCAGCACTGCCTTACCCTGACCCTCAGAAAGGGTTTCCAAGCATTCGCTTTCGGTCTTTTAGTGCAATGCAAACCCATACGGTCAAGGTAAGACCAGATCACGGGATCATTGCTTGTAAAATGAAGAGTGTTGCTTACTGATTTGCTAACTCCTTGGTAGCTGCAGGCACAAAGACCTTGGACAAACTCAAACATCTTAGGAGTGACTTAATTTCAATGTTTCGTTAAGAGCAAATTCTTGGCTCTGGAAAATTCCCATTAAATGTGATGGGGGTTTGTTTGAGTACGGAATGAGAAAACTGGACCAAAGAGCTCTGGGCACAGCCAGCTTGCGTGTCCTGACCCTGGGAGTTACTGCACATATCACACGGGGCAATGGGCAGCTCTGGCCACTGTGCTGCACGCTGCCGGGCAGGACAGCCCAACGCCCTTCCCGCTCCTCTCCTCTCCTCTCCTCTCCTACAGATCCTTCTCCAGAGCAGGGTTGCTCACCTCTTCGCGCATCTTCTTCACGGTCTCTCCTTTCTGAAATAAGAAGCAGAAACACAGGCTATTACTAAAAATTCAAGACTTCCACCTTCAAAACAACCCTTCCAAACACGCATCTCTCTAATACGTGGCAACACATAGCGAAACCTTTGGGCAGCTCTGCGATGCCTGGCCCTCCATCCCCGTGTGCTGGTCAGCTGAAGAGCTGAGGGTACAAGCCATCGTAGCTCTGCTCCCTGTGTCTGTACGACACGACAGACAAAACAGCTACTAATGCACAACTGCAGCCTCCACCTCCCTTTCTACATGTCCCATTAGGAGGAAAAGTGCACGGAAAAAGCTCAGAAACTGATCCGATGCTGAGAAAAGCTGGAACTTCAGAGTGGCTTCAAAGGGCAGTTTCTGATCTGGTATCTATAGAGAAATCTACTATCTTTATATCCAGATAATAAAACAGGCACAACTGTGAATCTTTCCAGGGCTGGACAGGCTGATGGAAAAATAAGGCACAAGGATATAGGGGAAAGGTTTTCGTGCCACAAATCTTTGCCACCATAAACCTGCCTTTTAAAAACACCGAAAACCCAATTCTGTATAGCCAGGACTTTCCAAACCACCATGGCAAGCCCCGGGGAGCAGAGCACCTCGTGAAGCTTTTCTGCACAAACTAAATGGTGTCCTGCAGCCTCAGAGACAAGTGCTGCGAATTTAAGTGGGCCTGCATGACATTTTTTAGTCTCTCTTAATGAATCTATTTGATTAAAATGTCAGGGCAACGCGATCATAAACACCCATTCATCACCCCAGTGAAGCAGCTGGAAACGGCACTGGGTAAGTTTGGTGGCTGGTTTCTCTTTTTAGGGGAACGGCCTTTGGTCCCTCTGTGGGTGTCTCATAATTTGTGTCTCACAAATGCGGCAACGAGCTCATGCACACCAAACATTTAAGGACATGACAGGGAAGAGGAGTCTGGCATCTACCACACCACAGGCAGCACATGGTGCGGGCAATAGCATTAAGTACTCATTTAAAAGACGTCCTTACCTTTCCAATGATGCTTCCAACTTCCTATGAAAAAAAAGTCAAACACAAAGGAACCGACGTTACAAAACGTGAAGACAATCCAGCCCGACCCCATAATGACGCAAAGACCTGGCGCACACTGTCCCCAGCAGAAGGACGGGGTGGGGGGAGGCATGCGAGGGGCCAGGAGCACCGTGCCAGCCTCCCCGTCACACCGGGGCTGTCAGCCGGCCGGGCCCGGGCACAGCCGGAGCAGAGGCGGAAGAGGGGGCTGTGAGGAAAGCCCCTCGCTGGGAGACCCTTACCTTGCCATGCATCAGCAGCCGGATGGTGAGGGTGACGTTCAGGCCGCCTTCAGAGACCTTCGACTCCATTTCCTACCGGGAGACGGGAGACGTGTGTAAGCCGGGAGAGCAGCCCCGCTGCAGAAGGAGACAGCACCGCGGCCGTATCACCTGGGGACAGAGAGGGGAAAGGTTTTCTCTCAAAACAGGCAGGTGCCTCGGTGTGGGACGGCCCTTGCAGAGCAGCAGGGCGTGGGAAAGCCGTGGCTGGAAGAGCTGCGGGGGGGTGTCGCGGGGTGAGGACCC